TTGTACTTGGTTTGCAAAAAAAGTGGTATCGGTGCATCTCTATCCAGAACAAAAAATAACTACTTAATTCCAAAAACCGAACACTCTACAAAGATACACAAAGTTGTCTACAAAGAGACACAAATCCACAATAAAAGAAACAAATTGATTTTTTTTTTAAATCACAAAGCTGCAAGAAGAAGATAGAAACAGATGAGTTACTCGTCTTCTTCAGGCTGAGAGTCTGTCGATGATGTAGGAGGGGCTGGGGAGATTTTAATGTTTCATGTCTGCACTTAGGGGCCTTTTTGTGCATGATCTATAAGTTCGACTAAAACTTTGAATTATTAAACACATTAAATCCATGGGTTGGAGGACCGTTGCATCTATCAATAGCTCAGTGGTGCAGAACACTACACAAACCATCCAGCAGTACATCAACCAGATTGTTTGCAGAGAAGCACACCGTCCTGCATTGTTGCCTTTAAAAAAACCTTTACACAGTGATTAGGTCTTCTTTACTTGCATAGCTTCCACTCGCCAGTACTCACATTGATTGTTTCTCCCGGCTGGTAACTAGATGGAAGTCAATACGCCCCTGCTGTGACGTCAGGGTTCACCTAGCTGTAGGACTCCTGGGCTTATCAATTAGAGGCAAAGAATGCAGCCAAGGATTTCATTTGTAGCCTAAGCTGTTATTAGTAACGACAGGTGGGTATTGAGTATGGCGCAACACGGTGCTGGAGAAAATTGTGATAAATGACAGGGGGGAGGCTCTCTGCTTCACAGAGCTGTGCTGAGATGACTGCAGGTCATTAGACAGGAGGGAGCTGTGCTTGCATGTTTGTGTGTCAGGGGGAGAAAAAGAAGAAGTAGAAAAGTGTCAAAGTAGCAGAATTTAAACTTTGAAATGAAAAAAATCTTACAATATCGATATCTGTTTCGATTGCACAGAATTTAAATTAGAAGTCTCCGGCCCATTTTTTGGTTTATTTCTTTATTCTAATGACTAAAAAAATGGAAAGCAAACTCCTGAAAACTGTCATAATTACACAAAAACATTGGGAACATTTTGTTAAAGAACACATCCAATGTATTTCGACAATGTCTTCAGTTTACTATAAAAAATAGAGCCTGGATCAGATATGAAATATTCTATTTTATTCATGTCTCATAATCCAGTTTAACCCACCTGAAAGTTTAAAAATACGACTGAAGATACATATATTTTAACGCTTCAGTACTTATCAACAGAAATAACAGAGGTATCTTTTAAAAAGAGGTGGTGTCAAAAAGTGGAATAAGATATTTGACCACCTTAGTTTGTAATAAAGTTGCCATACTTTATTGATTAATTGGTTGGATTTGAGGGAAATCATTTCACAAATGTGTCCTGAATATTTTAGTGTTTAAGAGAAGTGCCAGGCTGGCTTTAGCCTCCTAAATCTAAGTTTCTGCAGCTTTTTGACATTTTTAAATGTTTTTTATTATTATTTATTATGATTCAGAGAAGCCATTCTCAGGATGTCATGACTCAAGGAAAGGATGATGATAATCTTTCACACATTTTTTCACATTATAAGATCACCATTAATCACTAAGGGTTGCTTGATGATAAAATAATCATCAGTTGCAGCCAAAGTTTCTAGGAAAGTAAAGATGGCTTTACTTTTAAAACCACACACGTGCAGCCATTCATCCCTCTCGTGCCTGCCTTATGGCCGCATCTGTTTACCTTATGGTCGATGATGCCGATGTATCCCTGGAGGGCCGGGGGGTGAGGCTTGGCCACCCTGGCGGGAGCTTCAGTGGGAAACCGCAGATGTTCATGCTGTCGGATGTGCGTGTCGTTAGAGTCCCTGGATGGAGCTCCGCTGGTGGAGCTGTTGTTGTACACGAGGAACAAGCTGGCGAACAGGAGCAGCCCGAGCAGCAAGGCGACCCCATGACGCTGACACAAAGACACACACACACTGAACTCAGTTTATGATGTACAACGACAGGTTCATTTACAGCCGCTCCAGGCCGTAATAAGTCAGGCTGCAAATGATCATCTTTACTTAGTTTGCATGCAAGCTCAGGAGCACATCTGCTGTAATAGAAAGTTAGTATTGTGTTACTTAAACTTTAAAGTAAAGGTTCTTATGAACATCCTGACCTTCTTTGAGTCACTTTGAGTCGCCATCGTTTCAAAACACACTAATCAACAGAAGAAGAAACACATCTCATGACACTTTTGATTCGTGTCTTGGCACGTCTTCGCATTAGGGTCGTTGGATGTGCGGATCTATTTTCCCATAACATGCATTACAACAAGTTTCTTCCAAAGAAATAACATTTCATGCACTTTTTTAAATTGAGGTTACAGCTCTGCATTGAACGCCGTAAAGAAAGCCAGCGCGCTGGGCTGCATGCTGTGGAGTTTATTATTCTTATTCTTATTATAAGAAAGAGCCGGAGCTTACTGGTAAACAGAGCGCACAGCTGGATGTCCATTGTTCGCATCCCATAATCTTTTGATCCGACAGACTACACACAGCAGCATGACGGTTTAAGAACACTTCACAGAACAATGCTGGATTAGTAATACTGTAATACAACATGACAGAGACCTTTACCATAAGTGCCTTCATTTTTGTGGCGCGCTGTCTTATCTCTGCGGCTCAGTGCGTCCCTCGCCACTTTCTCTCATGATCCGCCGTCATCTGTTCGCATCCCGTATCCGCTTCGCTCCGTGCCGCACCGTACCAACCTGCCTGCCTGCCTGATGCCTGTGTGTCTTCAGTCCGGAGCCCAGGCGCAATTCATACTGGAGAGCGAGGCGACAGATGTTTCACTGTTGGAGCTCTGCAGGGTCTTAACGCCCTCTCTGTTTGATGGGCGGAGAAGAGGAGGGGCAGCGAAAAGAGACTCCACCTGCACGAGGGTGTAGCTCTCTTCACAACAACAGACAGATCTGTTTTTTCTGGTTTTATATGCTCTTTAGTGTGTTTTCCATGTGTCCTGTGCATGTTTAGGCACATCTATGTGCAAAAATTCAAAGTCCGCGGAAACGCGTCCTCCTGTTAGCTGTAGCATTAGCCGCATGTAACGCTCGGTTCTAGCCCCCCTTGATAAAGATTTGTCAGTCCGACGTCATTGTCAGTGTGAGATCATTGATCTAAGTCCATTGGCTCGTTGTGGCAAGCCCAGCAGCTCATGTTGAAATTTCCGAGACTCCTGTTGAGCAACTGACCAACAACGACAGAGCAGATCGGCAGACCAATCAGAGCAGACTTGGCCCACGTGGGGTCTAACAGTGTGGGCTCAACAGAGCGTAGCTGATGGACTCAGAGCGTAGAGGGAGCAAGGAGGAGCAGTACATGAAAACAGACACTTTTTTCTGACTTTAGCTATTGTGAACGTAAAAACCCCAAAAGGGCATAAATATGGGCTCTTTAAAGTCCTTGTAAAGTGTCTTTCCCAGTCTGCTTAAACTTCAGACGTCAGTGGTAACAGTCTTCATGCATGTTTACATCAATTCGCGGGAGGTAACCATAGACTGTAAATATTACTGGACGAACCCAGACCCGTCTGTTACATAGGCAGCAAATGAGTCCAATCGAGGGCCGCATCCATATTGGATTTGCAGTCTCAACCTAACTTCGGATCAACCTAGCAACAGCAGTAAGGCGGGACTTAACTCCGCCCATTCAGCTCGACGTTAGCAGTCCACTTCACAGCATAGCTAACAGCTAGACTGCTATCATCCCCTATTCCTGCTCGTCCTGAGAAAACTCTAGAAACAGGAAGTTAACATTTAACTTTTCTACAACACAGTTAAAACGAATTATATTCAACCCCAAATATTTTATTAAAGTCTTAAAACTATTATTATTGGTTATTAGTTATTTGTCAGAGCAGTTAGACTCTGTCGTTGTTAGCAGAGAAATACATTAACAAAGTTTTATCCATAGACTGTAAATAAATATGAGACATCCAGAAGAAATCAATATTACAAAGTATACAGTTCATGTTACTGTTCTGACAAAAAGAGGAATGTCTGTGTCTTATATTTACTGATGTCAACAGCGATGACGGTGAACAACATAATTATTTAGTATTTATTATAAGATATTCGTTTTCTATAGAACCCCGTGAAGTCATGGAGTCTGTGGACAGTGTCAGCTTCACACCAAAAGTATTAGAAAAAATAGTGTTTAAGACTGGCATCTATTATTAGGAGTTGCAGCTACCTTGTTCAATATTATTCCTGCAGATGTGGCTAATAACAAAAAAACACCCTGAGCTGTCACATGTAGTTAACTGTACATTTTGTCTTGTCTGAGGGGCATTAATTGAACACTTTTGTATTTCTCCTATAGACACAGTGTGCATTATTGGTGACTGGTCCGTCGAGGTGCCCAGAGAGCTGCAGAGACAGAGGAAGAAACCTGAGCCTCAACAACATCTGTATTTGTTGGTTCTTCTGGGGTGGACTTCGGTTGCTTCTCTTCAACAACTCGCTGCGAGGGAGGTCTCCCCCGGATGGCCTGAGTGATGTCACCCACAGGCTGAGAGCTGAGGCTGAGGTGGGTTTTAAGCCTTTTGACAAACCGTTACACCGCACCCGCCTGTCAAGCTGGTCAGCTACACGCCTTATTGTGAATAACTCTTATCCTTCATCAAATCAAACGACCCCCGTACAGTGTGTCGATCGTATAAAAACAGGCTTTTTGAATGTGATTTTTCAGATTAAATAAATATTTCTATATAAATGCACTCCTTTATGTCTACTTATGAGTATACATTTCAGATTTGAAATGACAAGACTAAAATGTGCATTAATGCTCAACTCAATAGCTTAGGGAAGCGACAGAAACAGCACTTACAAAAGTGGTGAATGATTTGCTACTATATTTAGATTCAGACTCAACCAGTGTTTTATTGTTATTGGGTCTTAGCGCTGCTTTCGGTAAGGTGGACCACTGTATTCTACTGGATAGGCTTGAGAACTATTTTGACATCTCAGGACAAGTTCTGGAGTGGTTAAGATCCTACCTGTCAGAAAGATCTCAATGTGTTTTATACAACAACATACTCTCTGAGCCCTGTGCTGTTAGGCACAGGGTTCCACAGGGGTCTGTACTGGGTCCATTGCTGTTCTCACTTTACCTATGAGGCCTGTCTTGCAGCTGTTAAGAGTTGGTTATGAAAAACATTTCTTGTTACTTAATTCTGCTAAGACAGAAATGATGTTTATCGGACCAGCGAAACTGGGTCATCTTTTTGATCCTATTACTTTGTCTCTCGATGATCGTGTAATCAATCGCAGAGACCGAGTTAAGAATCTTGGTGTTCTTTTCGATCAGACACTAGTAAAACTGCAGTTTTTTGTACTTACGCATTGGCTTCATTTTTCGAGACCGGAGGTTGGCCCTCGGAGGTAACGTGTGCTCACCGTACATGTCCTTCCCTTAATTCCATCGTAGCGGAACCAAAACAAGGAACTTTAGTTCCACATAGAAACATAAAGATTTTAACAGTGTTTTTAACCTTTTAGCTTAACATCCATGAATTATTATTTATTTATTTATCGAATACATGAAATTATGACAATATGAAATCATTTATGACTCATGAACTTAAAGTTTTATGTAACAGCACTTACACTCCCACCAAAATCACTCATTTACCTTGAATGTGGGATTTTCTTCAAACTAAATAACAAGGGGAAATAAACATGTTTCATATCAATGAAATGTGACCACATGTATGTAGCTTAGCTAGCTTCAAGTAAGGTGACTACCTTGTGAATGGGTCTTTCAAGGTGAACTGATCTAGTGTGTGTTTTTCCTTTGTCATGTGTGGAGTCACTGACATGTAACTTCAGCTTTCTCACTAAGCTGTCTGAGCTTGGGTAAACTTCTACAACCTTGGCGAGTTTCCATTCGTTCCTGGGTGAGTTATCATCTTGTAGAATCACGATGTCTCCTACTTGTGAGTTCCATGATGTTCTTTGCCATTTCTGTCGCTGTTGTAGGTTAAGCAGGTATTCTCGCTTCCATCTTTGCCAGAATTCATTGGCTGAAAACTGCACTCTTTACCATCTTTTGCAGAGGTACAGGTCTTCCCTGCAGAACTGTCCAGGAGGAGGCAGAATAACTGATGATTTCATGGTTAAGATGTGATTGGGAGTGAGAGGTTCTGGACAAGTTGGATCATGAAGATGTTCAACACTTAAAGGCCTACTGTTGATGATAGCCATTGTTTGGACATTTGCCAAGAAATGTCCTCAACGCTGTGGTGTCCAGCGTGCTTGCAGACTTGTCAAGCATGACTGTCAGAATGCTTCTGATCGTTCGAATTTGCCGTTCCCAAACTCCTCCCATTTGGCTCGCTGATGGGACATTCATGAGGAATTCACATCCAATTGCTCTTTGATGTTCTTGATCCAATCCTTTAAGTAACTCAGAAAACACCCATGAAATTTGTTCCCTGATCGCATCTCAGTTGGCGGACAGGTCCTCTGATAGCTACAAATGTTCTTAGTGCATTTATGAAGGCGTCTGTAGTCAGGTCATCCAGTGTTTCGATGTGTACTGCTCTTGAGCACAAACATGTAAACAAAAGTCCATAACGTTTTAATTCTCTTCTTCCTTCCTTCACAATGAATGGTCCGAAACAGTCAATACCACAGTAGGTAAAGGGGGGCAATGTTTCAGTTCAGTGCTGAACCTCTGTGGTTCTTCTGTATCTCCTACATTTTACACACTTGTAAATGTGTGAGGAGACCACATCCAATAATCCATATCGCATTTGCACGTAGCTCATTCATGGTCATGCCTCTTCCTTGATGCTTTATTCGTTCATGATGATGTTTGACACGAGATTTCTTTGGTAGAATTGCTGGATGTTCCACATCATGGTGTAAGGCTGAATGAGAGAGTCATCCTCCCACCCTTAGTACATTGTTCTCGTCCAGGAAAGCATTCAACTGTTGTAACTTGTTGTGCCTTTTCAGTGCATCTCCTTTCTGTTGCTTGATTTTCTTTATGTCTTCAGCAAAGCTGTCTTCTTGTCCTAACTTGATGATGAAGATGTCTGCTTCTCTTCTTTCTTCAAGGTAAGTTGCTTCATTTGTTCTTTGTTGAAGTCCTTTGAATTCTCTGACATATCTCTTGAGCCTGGCACCTCTGGACCAGTCAGCAAATTTTGTGAAGCAGTTTGCTATTGAATTCACTTCCTTTGTCTTGACTGTGTGAATGTACACCTTGCAAAGCTCTGGATCAGTTACTTCTAATTCTCACACCGTTTTCTCTTCGGCTGGAAGATTTAGTTACCAAAGAAAGTCAGATTCAAGAGCCTTGATTATGTATATAAAATTGATCTCTTTCACTTGGTTTTTGCACACAAAGTGTACTTCTTTCTTTAGCTCGACTGATGGATCCATAACAGGTGTCACTTGTTGCACTATGGTTCTGTGACTGGTACCTATTGCATCGTCGTATTCGCTTGATGGATTAGAGCAGCCAACAATACTCCAGCCGAGATCAGTTAGCTGTGCATATGGTTGATTTTCTTTACCTGACAGGATATCTCTTGGAAGAAGGGCTTGCTGACAGTTATAACCGATGAGAAGACCTACTTCGATATCCAGTGGTGGCGGAATCTTGTTTGCCAGTTGTTCAAGATGAGGCCACTTCAGAGCAGTTTCAGAAGTTGGAATGTGCGATCTGTCTGCTGGAATGTACTCTCGCGTGAAGAGTGGTGGTAACTGAATCCTTTTTTCTAAATTGTATCCAATTACTTGCAGGTTCTTCAGTTTTTGGCAGTGTATGACTGTTGACTTTGTAGACATT